AACATCTAAACTCCAACCTAATACAATTAAACTACTCCAAGAAAGACGAAACAGAACAGATCGAACTTAGCACAGCTTAAAAGTTTAAACAAAAATGTGAAGAAAGAAATCAGGAACGATCACAGAAACTGTAATATATAGTTTCTGTTATTAAAAACCTGATAAAAAATATAATACAAGATAACTGCAACATGAAAGTACTCAAAGCAAAAAAACTCAAGCGACACAACAAAAATCATAGAAATAAAAAATGAGAAAAACGTCACCGTCAGACAGAAAGGAAATGAGCGAGGCCATTAAAAAATTCTACACTAAACTATACTCGGTAAATACACAACCACAACAACAACGTACTCAACAAACAATAATTAACACCGGCTCAGAAGAAATACCGGACATAACCGACTATGAAATAAGAATGGCCCTAAATCAACTTAAAACGAATAAATGTCCGGAGAGGATAGGATAAACAACAGTTAAACAGTTGAAATGTTGAAAATTGGTGGCAGAAAAAATGGAACAGGTATTAAATATTTTATTTAATAAAGTAATTGATGAAGGAAAGATTCCTCAAGAATGGTACAACTCCGAGGTCATTTTACTATTCAAGAAAGGAAACAGAGCAAACATCGAGAATTACCGACCAATATCCTTGCTATCACATCTGCATAAATTACTAACTAAAATCATAACCAACCGCCTAACACATAAGCTCGATTTCTATCAACCTATCGAGCAGGCTGGATTCAGAAAACATTTTAATACCATAGACACTTGCACACCGTAAGAACACTGATAGAAAAATGCACCGAGTATAATGTTCCAATTCAATGGCGTTCGTCGATTTCCATAAAGCATTCGATTCCATCGAATTATGGGCAGTGCTTGAATCTCTAAAAAATGCACGCATAGATTCAAGATACATTAACATAATAAAAACATATATGAAAATGCCACCATGCATATAAAGCTGGACGAAATCCACAAACTAATCCATTAAACTACAACGGGGAGTAAGACAAGAAGACACCATCTCTCCAAACTATTTACCCTTGCTCTAGAAGATATTTTAAAAAACTGGAATGGAGCAATAAGGTATCAACGTCGATGGATCATACTTAAACCACTTGAGATTCGCAGATGACATAGTTTTAATAGCCGATAATATCCAAGAACTAAATGATATGTTACAACAATTAAATGAAGTTTCAGGAGCGGTAGGCTTAAAAATAAATTACAGCAAAAAAAAATACTGAGCCGAGACCAGACAAATATAACAATACAAAATCATACCATGGAAAATGTGGAACATTATGTATATCTAGGTCATGTTATCAAACTAAAAAAACCAAATTAAGATGCTGAAATTAAAAGAAGAACACAACTAGCTTGGGGCGCTTTCGTCAAACTATATGGCACTATATGGGGCACATATCTTGAAAAACACCTTCATGCTTTTAATATCACTAAGAGACAAGATTAGAAACACTGAGATAAGACGTAGAACGAAGATTAGGGATATTGTGGAAGAAATTACAAAAATTAAATGGCGCTGGGTAGGTCACGTAGCCCGATATAATGACAACAGGTGGACACGGAGAATTCTAGAATGGAGACCAAGGACGACAACAAGAAGCATGGGAAGACCTCAAAAAAGATGGGTAGATGACATAAGAGCAGTGGCAGGCAAACAGTGGATTAGATTGGCGCAAGATAGAGAAAGATGGAAGCAACTGCGAGAGACCTACATTTAGGAGGTAAATGGAAACTGGTTGACAAAGAAGAAGAATTAGCAACATCGCACTTAAAGCCAAAAAGAAGATATTTCCCTTATTAACTTTCAGACGCGTACAAGAATAAGATTTTAATTATTTATATTTATAAAATCCGTTTTGCCGCGCACACAATTTACAACAGGACTTTCCCAACTCACAAAACATAAGCACACGAACATTACTTTAACATTACAAGCGAACGACACTGCTCTCGTAACAACATCTCACGGTGCAGAATTTATCGTAATAAGCTCAAAAATCACCTCAACCATGTCGATAGGTGGTTTGAGAAATTGAGAGTAACGCCAAATCCTAATAACTCACAACTTGTTCAACGTTACGGCTAAATATTTGGCTTGATCTGATCATTCGATTTGCGTATCGAATAGAGATAGAATCTCATTTGGTCCGCCCTTCCTTTTTTGTTACATGGCGGTCTGTATTTTGATAGGTTTGACAGCTATCTTCCACTCTACACACCAATCTTGTAGTTGGCTAAATACCCTTTGTAGGGTATTCTTTTACTAGATCTGGGTTGGTACTGCTAACAGCTATCGCTGTATCGTCTGCTAATAGACTTAGCAGTGATCTGGGTTGGGGTGTCTGCTGTGTATACGGTATATAGATACGGCGATATCACCGCTGCCTGTGGCACACCAGCTGTCATGGCTTCAGCTTCGGACAGGGTTGGCCCTATACGAACACTAAACCTGTCTGATAGGTATTACGAGGAATAATATGTCATCGTCTTACTATAACCATATTGTTTCATTTTATACAACAGGCCTTCATGCCAGACTCTGTCGAATGCTTTTCTGACATCTGAAAGGCGGCTGTTTATTTCTTTTCATTGCACTTTTTTGTGATATAGTCTGCTAGACTCAGTACCTGAAGTTCATATGAGTGTTTTTATCAGTATTCAGACTGTGCTTCAGGTATTGTTCCGATTTCTTCTGATTCTTCTTGTAGCCTAGCTAGTATGACTCGCACTGTAATTTTTTGATAAGCTTATCGGCTGTTTATTCTGTGGAAATGTGAAATTTTTCCCTAGTTTTTTATCATTATTACGTGAGCTTCCTTCCATTTGCCAGGAAAATGTTTGTATCTTAGTATGTGGTTGATTTAAGTTTATTATGTATACTATTGCTTTTACTGACAGATTTTTAGAGCTCTATTTATAATATGATCCGGTCCTGGAGCTTTGTTGGTGTGCGCTTGATCAACTGTCTGATCTTTTCAGGATAGGTATGTGTAGTATATGTTGCCCCTTTTTTATTGCCATGTATCTTCTACTTCTTCTGTGAAGTCGTACCCTATTTCTAGCGCGTTTTTCATAATTTTTGTTTAGCTTCTTTTGTGGACACAATTCCATTTCCATTTCTCCAGTTGCTGTAATATACAGTTTAAATAAATTTTCAAATTTCTTTCAACTAACTGCCATATCTCCACTCACTGACACCTTGGTTTGTCTTAGCATCTCCATTTTGATTTGCTTTTACTAAGACTTTATAAAAATTGTTTATTTTGTACCTCTGCATGGATTTGTAGGTTCAGTTTGTCAGATTATACGTGCGCCGTATTATGATGGGCATTAATCAATGAATGAATGATATAAAGATATATTGCTAATTAATTAAAACGATTTAATCTTTACATATCTTTATTATGCAATACAAATGCTTGAATAGTATTGGACATATAATCACGACGTGCATCAGATTTTTATAGACTTCAAACAGGATTATGATTCAATTAATCGTGCAACATTATGGAAGGCAATGATCGAGCTCGGCATACCCAAGAAACTAGCTGCGGTGACACAAATGTGTGTAAGTAACTCTTTTGCATAAGTTAGAATAGGGTGAAAAATATCAAATGCTTTCTGCGTAAATTCTGGACTGAGACAGGGAGATCCATTGTCCCCATTGTTGTTTAACCTGGCCTTAGAATATATCATCCGAAAAATATATCCAAAAATCAAATCAGACATAACTGCTCGGGGAGAAAAAATTATACTCGCCTTTGCCGATGACGTAGACGCAGTAGCACAATCAACATTAGAAATTAAGCATATCTTCTCGAGCTTTGAAGAAACTGCATTAAACATTGGTCTAAAAATAAATGAAGACAAAACAAAATACAAGGTCGTCTCAAAACAAGAACGACGGCCAATAAGGCAAAACATTACTATAAATGATCACAACTTCGAAGTGGTTACAGAATTTAAATATCTAGGAGCAACAATCACAAATCACAACAAAATAGAGCCAAACGTTGAAACGAGAATACTGGCAGGAAATAGATCTTTCTTTGCAATGCAACATCTGATGAAGTCGAAACTTCCTTCACGAGGTGCAAAGATCCGGATATATAAGACCATAATACGACCAACAGTCGCGTATGGAAGCGAAACATGGACGATAACAAAAAGAGAAGTAAATAAATTGCTGGTATGGGAAAGTAAAATTCTTCGAATGATATATGGCCCTTGCAGAGACAACGTGACAAATGAATGGAGGGGAAGATACAATAAGAGTCTCTATTCGGAAAAGAAAATCTAGCCAGATATATAAAGGCCAATAGACTCAGATGGCCAGTACATGCGATACGCAGTAACGACAATCGCCTTATAAACAATGTGTTTTGGAAAGGCCAGATGGAAGAAGGTTTGTAGGGCGGCCTAGAAAAAGGTGGAAAGATGCAGTCAGAGAAGATCTAGAGAAGATGGGAGTGCGACAATGGGAATTACTGGCACAGGACCGACAAACATGAAAGGCAATACTAAACGCGGCAAAGACTCACGAAGAGTTGTAACGCCATTGATGATGATGATGATGATATCTTTATTAACCATACTATCTACCGGAAGCTGTTATGAGCTCGCGATTCATATGCAACCCATTTTACACTAGTGTGCAGAGGCCAACTCATAACAACCCGTACTTTAGAAACTCCATCCTCTATAAAAACTAAGGTCATTGAGAGCTCCGTCATTGCTTCCATACCTAAAAATAACTTATGTTATTATTTAGGGATCATAAGTAATGTTTACTTACTTATGATCCCTAATAGTAACGTAGTAACTTAATTAATAAGTAATGTTTACTATTAGGGATCAAAAGTTTATAAAAAAGAAGAATAGATATCAGTCATGTTTATCATTGTATTCGTGTTTATACGTATTTGGCATGTGTCCATAATTTGTCAAAATTGATAGGTTAGATATGATTTTGTAACTAAATTTACTAGAATGGAGTTGCATATACCAGACTTTGAATCTTACCATTACTTTTTTATAATAGCCGTGCTATTGCTTTCAGTTTTATATGTATACGATATTGTAAACGATAAAAAATGCTGTCAACCAAAACGTAATGAAGAATTTACTTTTAGCACGTACGATTATAGTGAAAGCAATGGGCCTTCATTTTGGAGCAAAATATTTACAGCAGCAGAAGGTAAACAACAATCTCCAATAAACCTTTTAGAGACATCAGTGAAAGTAGTATCATTTGAATCGACAGTACCGTTATTATTTTCCAAGGAATTTAATATAGTTCCGTCAGAAATGAAAGTTTATAATAATAGTCATAACATTGTGCTCTATGGAACATGGGCAAACAACAGAAGACCTTCGTTAGTTGGAGGACCTCTAACAACCGATTACTGTTTTGTAAATTTACGTTTTCGTTGGGGACCCAACGACTATGAAGGATCAGAACATATGATTAACTTTTCTAGGTTTTCTATGGAACTACAAGCGGCATTTATTAAAAGTAATACAGTTCAAGAAGATATTTTAACAGCTGCAAAAAATCATAATCTTTTAATATTAAGTTACGTTTTTATGGTAACTTCAACAGACAATCCTTACTTAGAACCTATTATTAACGCCATTGAGTATCTTAAATTACCTATGAGTTGTTTATGTATTGAACCAGTTACTTTGTCATTATTAATGCCAGTATTTGAACGGGACTATTTCTGTTATGTGGGATCACTTACGTTTCCGCCTTGTACGGAGGGTGTAATGTGGATAGTCAAACCTGAACCATTGATGATATCGTCGCAACAGGTAAAGCAATTTAGAAAAGTTTGTGGATACAATGGTAGAATAAAGAATAACACACGACCAGTCCAACCAATCAATGGTCGAGAGGTACTCTATTACGATTGATTTATTTATATAAATATATAACTGTAAATTTTATTTAGAATATACATTATATACAGAAACCGTTATCACAGTATTTATTTAAGCTTATTTTCTTTTTTCTTCTTCAGTGCCTTATCCGGTCTGGATGTTGGCGATCATCAAGGCTATCATGGTTTTGTTGACTGCTCTGCGAAACAGCTCCGCTGAGATCATCCCAAACCATTGTCGGAGATTTTTCAACCACAAGATACGACGGCGTCCCGGTCCTCTTATTATCGATTTATTCACCGTTCACTCGGATTCCCATGTCTAGGTTTGTGAGGGTTTCATTAAAAATCTCCTCAGTGTATATATTGAAAAGAGTCGGCGATAGCACACATCCTTGCCTTACTCCTCGCATGATCTTCACTTGGTCGGTCAGCTGGTTTTCGACCTTGACTTGAGCACGCTGGTTCCAGTATAAATTCATGATAATCCGAATGTCCTTCTCATCCAATCCTACTCTTTGTAGTGCGGTGGCCATCTTCTGGTGCTGACAACGGTAAAATGCCTTGGCGTAGTCAATAAAACAAATATAGACATCACAACTGACATCGCGGCATCTCTGAAGTAGGACTTGTAAGGTGAAAAGTGCTTCACGTGTACCCATGGAATTGCGGAATCCGAATTGCATTTCACCGACATTTTCTTCGCATTTCGTGTAAATTCTGGCATGTATGATTTTAAGAAAAATTTTAAGTGCATGACTCATAAGACTGATTGTTCGGAAATCTTCGCACGTTTTCGCAAATCGTTTTTTTTTTAGGTAGCGTTACAAATGTTGACAATAGCCATTCCTCTGGGATATTACCTGAATCGTATATGGCGTTGAACAGTTCAGTTAACTCCTTCGTGCTCACTTCACTCATCACCTTAATAAGTTCAACGGGTATTTCGTCCGGACCTGTAGCCTTACAATTCTTAGACTGTTTTAAAGCAGCCTTTACCTCGCTTTCTAGAATTGACGGCCCTGTCATGCAATTTATTTCCGGAAGGTTGCCTCAGTCGTCCCGGAAAAGTTCTTCGATATATATTTTCCAGGTAACCAACTTCTCATTCACTGTCGTCGCCAGATTACCGTCTTTATTTATGAGGAGGTGTGTGTTTCTCCTCTTGTATTGACCAGTGGCTTCACGAATCCTTCGGTGGATATTTATATGATCGTGTTTCTCTTGAGCTCCTCGATTAGTTTACATTGTTCTTGCATCCATGTCTCCTTGGCTCTTCGTATTTCTTTTTTAATTGTCTGGTTGGTTTCTTGGTATTTCTTCGCGTCCCTGTTTTTCATTAATCTTCTTTGTTCCATCATCTGCAGAATGTCATCAGTCATCCATTCTTTATTTTTTACTCTTTTTTTCTTTCCAGATGTTCTTTTCCCGCATTCAGCATTACGTCTTTGATATAACTCCATTTTTGTTCTACACTCTGTTCTTGTTGTTGAGCCGTTTCTAGTTTTTGTCTCATTGTATCTCTCACGTTCTCACGAACTACGGGGTCTTTTAGAGTCTCATAATCCAGGTTCTGTTTAGGTTTATTTTTGATAAGTTTCTTTAGTTGGAGTTCTATCTGGCCCACTAATGGGTTGTGGTCCGATGAGACGTCTGCTCCTGGGAAGGTCTTCGCCGAAGTCAAGCTGTTCTTGAATCTTTTGTTAATGAGAATAAAGTCTATCTGGTTTCTGATATTGCTGGCTGTATCTGCAGGTGACTTTAACGTATAAAGTCGTCTCGAGAAAGTTTAATCCACATGTTAGCAATGGTAAAGTTTCTTCCGGCAAAATTGTATGAGTCGTTCTCCTCTTTCGTTTTTCTCGCCTAAGCCGTGTTGTTCGACGATGTCTTCTACACTGATTTTGCCAACTTTGGCATGAAATCACCCATGATGATGGTTAGCTCGTTCTTCTTGTGTAATTTAGTGCTTTTTGTACAATGTGCAGTAGAAATCTCGATATCCTCTTCTGGTTTTTCTGATGTTGGAGCGTAAATTTGAATGATGTTCGTATTAACGGGTCTGCTTTGCAGCGTCATCAGAATGACCTTGTCAGCGAGAGGTATCACGCTGATCACAGCCCCAGCGACCTTTTTGCTCAGAATCACCGCTACGCCATTCCAGTGATGTGGTTTGTCGTTTCCCGCATAGTATACCATATGCTCATCCACACAGCACTGTCCCGAGCCTGGCCATCTCATCTCGCTGATTCCCATCACGTCGATATTTAGTCTTTTCATTTCTTAAATGGTGTTGTGTATCTTTCCCCCTTCAAACATACTTCGAACATTCCAAGTACAGATTTTTTGAACGTTCCACGTGCACACAACATAACTGACAGCTATCGAATCTAAAAATCAAATCGCCTAATTTGTGACCAATGTAAATACGACTTTAATGAAATACAACTCTTTTTAGAGTGTCCCAAATATATAAGTAAAAGACAAAAACACTCAATACCTAACAACACAAAAGCAGTCTTAACAAAATATGTTTCTTGAAAGATATTGATGTTTTAAACAAATTGTAATTAATAATGTTTTGTAAACCCTGTTTATAAATTGTAAAATGTGACATTCTGTCCTAATTGTGAACCTAATAAATAAATTTAAAATGCTATTTCGATTTGAGTATCTAAGTATTTACTATAGTAGAGCTCCTGTAGCGCAGGGGGCGGGGGGGGGGGGTTTCGGGTGTTAAACCTAACAGAGCATATATAGTAAAAAATAGAATAAGAATAGAAGAAACATGTAAACTCGTCTTTAAAAAATCCAAAACGGTAACCGAAATAATTAAATTACCACTTTATATATGTAGAACACAATAATTATTGTATCTATCTATATACACTTACACTATAATTTATAAATACACAATAATTAATAATATTTTTTATTATGTTTAGGTATAGATACCAAATATTAGGCTTATGCCAAAAGTAGACAGAACGAGTATGTTGCGAGTAGCATGCGCCTACAGAACTATATTTGCGGCGGGCTTATGGACTATCACGGTTGTGTTCCTCTGCATGTGTTAGCATTACAAAAAAAGAGACATCTCTATGAGAGAAGAGAGCATTTGACAACAGCTATAAAAAAAAAGAAGAAAAGGGAAAGATTATTGTAAAGATAACAAGAAGATTGGAACTCATAGGTTCAGAAAGACAGATACAGATAAATGCCTATACTGCAAACATTCCGACATTGTTACTCACACAATGCTTGAGTGCAATAGATGTACAGTGTAGAGAAACAGAATGTATAAATAAATAGGTATGAACCCTGTGACTGTAAGAGAGACGATCGTGAAGATGACGGGAAGTACAGAGGGATGGAAAAGTGTTCACAATTATATCCGAGTAATCATTAAAAATAAAGAATGACACAGAAAAGATCTAATTACTATTTTAATAAGAATAAGCCACAATTGAAGGTTAAAAGAAGTTTATTGACGTTTAAATATCTGATCTTTGATAGTGCACTTATAACTATAACTGTACATCTAGCCCTCATCGACCTAAAAAAGAAGTATGATACAGTTTCAAGCCTTAAATTATGGCAAGCTTTACAACTCGACATTAGTCCATACCTTTTAGGAAGAATCACAGAGGTATACAGGGATAACACTACTTACCTAAAAATCGGAAATAGACTATCAGAGCCAATAAAAGTAACTAAAGGACTAAAACAAGAATGCAGTATGTCTCTCTTACTGTTTAATTTATATATTGAGGTAGCCTTCCAAAATTGGAAAAACTACTGCCAGGGAATGAGAATTCCCATAGGAAATGACGTACTGTTTTCCCTGAACTTTGCGGATGACCAAGTCGAACTAGCTCAAGATTCTTATGATCTAGAATTTATGATAAGCGCCTATACAGAGAATATGTAAAATGTGGGTTTTAAGTCAGCATAAAGTAATCAAAATATTTAGTTATCAATTCAGATGCAAAGTTTGAAGTGTTGATAGACGAGGACGAGAAAATCAAACAAGTGAAAAAATATTAATATTTAGATGCACTTATTTATTTATTTAGCGTATGGATAATTACAATACGATAAAAGTAGTATTTAGATAATAATTATGTTCAAATTGGAATTGTAACTTAAGTTAAATATTAAATATTAATGTCCAAATTGCACAGCCATTCAATTGCACCAGGAGAACACTCTGCAAAATCTTGAAGATCTCCGCTGTATCTGCGGATTGGCAATCCGCCATGATGTTTGGATGGTCTGTCTCGGGATCCACAATCACATTGTGGGCTTTCTGCATGACCCCATCGGTATAGAGAATCGGCCACATTTGCCATGACCCGTGCGTATGCGATTTAATTTTATCCATATAGGGCGTTTAGATGCACTAATTGCTAAGAACGGCTCAATAGAAACCAAAATTAAACACCGAATTAATCAAGGACGTAAAATTGTAGGATGTCTGAACTCCTTATGGTGGGATCGCAACATTTCCAAAAAGAACCAAAAAATAATGGGTCAAACGATGGTTGAATCAGTTCGTTGTTATGGCTCTGAAGTATGGAGAAATAATGCAGACCTGAAGAGAAGATTGTTGGCAGTTGAAATGAATTATTTGAGAAGTGCTAGAACATCAAGGCAGAAAAGGAAGACCAACCAATCCATAATAAATAACATGAATGCTACTAAAACGGTCATTGACAAAATAGAAAAAAGAGGTCCAAAATGTTTTGGTCAACTATTGAGAATGCCTGACAAACGTTGGCCCCAAAAACTTTACAAATGGAAGCCACCTGAAAGAGAAAAAAGAGGTACACCTGGACGCTCATGAAATAAAGGAATTAGAAGAGCGATGGAATCGAGAGGTGTGGAGGAGGAGCATGCCTTGGACCGGAAGGATTGATAGAGGAGAACAGGAATATGGCGATAGCCGTCTCCAAGATGTATTGTATTTACAAGTTGGATTAATGTCAAACGTCAATAAACTTATTTTAACCTTCAATTGTGGCTTATTCCCATTAAAATAGTACTTACTTTAAAACGCCACAAGAAAATAGCTT